AAGCCAACGGCCAGGCAGATGCCTCCAACAAGACAATTATCAATGGGATCAAGAAGAGGTTGGACAAAGCCAAGGGAAAATGGGTCGAAGAGCTATTAAACATTTTGTGGGTATACAGGACCACCCCTCGGTCCTCGACAGGGGAAACTCCGTACTCCCTGGTATACGGAATGGAGGCAATCATACCCCTCGAAGTAGGGCTCCCGACCATAAGAACCCAAGCTTTCGACGAAGGGGGCAATGACCGTCAACTGGGATTGGATTTGGATCTAGTGGAAGAAAGAAAGGAGGTAGCCGCCTTGAGGATAACTAAGTATCAGGAGAAGATTTCCCAACTATACAACAGAAAGGTCAAGGCGCGAGAATTTCAAATAGGCAATCTGGTCCTCAGAAGGGTGACGGCCAATACCCGTGATCCAACAGAGAAAAAAATGGGACCTAACTGGGAAGGCCCTTACAAAGTGATATCAATCGGGGGCGCCGGGTCGTACAGATTAGAAGGCATGGATGGGAAACTTGTAACACGACCATGAAATGTTTATGAATCTAAAGAAATATTATTTTTGAAGTATTCTCTCCTCAAGTGCTTGCCAACGACAAAGATAAAGGGCAAGAGCAAGCCTCTTGATTGGGCAAGCAGCCCGAAGACAGTTAAAAAAAAAAAACATTACTGCGCGCAAAAAAAAAAATACTCATTCATTTCAAGAAGAAGGGGCTTTGCGTCCCCAAAGGCTACAAAAGAAAGTAAAAGGGGTACAATCAAAGAAGCAAAAAGGGGCTATCATCTGGCTCCAGGCATCTCCAGAACATCAGCCGAGGGCGAGTCAGCAAAAAATGGTTGAGAAGCTTCTGGGGCAGGCAGGAGAGGTACTTCGGCAACAGGGAAAACTTGGCCAACTTGAGGACCAGGAGAATGGTCCGACGGGGCGTCCTCGGACAAATCCACGATCACTGCCTCGGGAGGATCCGCCGACACTTGCACCGGCGTTGGGACCTCATCCTCGGCAACAACCTCTGCCTCTGCCTCAGCCCGTGCCATCTCGGTCGAGGGCACATACTTGTGCATTTGGAAGAGCGGGGAGTTTGAGGGGATTCCAGCAGACTGGAGCGCCTCGTCCCACCCTTTCTTGAAGAACTCCTTGCTGTTTTCTTCAAGAGCAGGGAGCACGTCATCGGCAAACTCTTCCCAAAGCTGCTCCTCCGATTTTCTGTTCAGCGTCTCGGCTCTGATCCGGTCCAGCTCCTGGGTAAGAGCCAGACAACTTTCCTCTGAGCCTACCGGCCTCTCCTCCGCAGCAAAAAGCCGCCGCGTCTGCTCGGTTATCCTCCCCTCAGCATCGGCAAGGGCAGCACTTAGCTTTTCAGCGCCAACCTTAGCCGACTCGGCGTCCTTGAGGAGTTGCTCGATTTGAGCAGCCTGCCCCGCCAGGGTAGAGTCCCTGGCAGCTACATCCTCCATTGCTCGGGCGAGGGCCCCCTCCGCCTCCTCCTTCTGCTCTCGGGCCCGCTGGAGGTCCATCCTAGACCCATGGTACCGAGCAGCTATTATGGAGATCTGCTGGGTAGCCTGCAAAGGAGGGAAAAAAGTGTTATCACAAAAATGGAAAGCAAGAGAGAAGGAACCAAAGCAAAAATGAACTCACCACCAGGGAATTCTGGATGATGGAGCGGAACAACACGTTGGTTGATCGCCCCCTATGAGCCGCCATGTCCGCCTCGAAATGCAGTGTCTCACTCACTGCATTGGCGACATGAGGATCCAGCAAAATGGAATCATCGACCCTGATCACTCGGTTCATGTGATCAGTGGCTCGGGGATTCCACTCCGCGGCCTCCACTGTAGGCGGAAGGGAAGGGGAAGTCCGCTGCTGCTGTTGTTGCTGTTGTCGTGGCTGTTGCTGCTGCTGCTGTTGTGGAGGAGCAGGGGGTAACCCACGGCCTCTCCCGCTTTGCTGCTGAGCGGGAGGTGCCCTGGATCCTCGGCCAAGGCCATCATGCCGATGTTTGACCCTTCTCTCCTCTTCCACTTGAGGATCCCGGTCTCGCACCTGACCCCGACCGAGGACCCTTGAGGATGGGGTGGAACTGGTCCCTGCAGAGGGGGTGCCGCCGGTCGTTCCTCGACCCCTCTCGGCTGCGAGGGCTTGCCTCTGCCTAAGGAACCCCAAATCAATGCGAGGGGTGCTGGACATCGCTACCTCGAGGGCGTCCTCGGCGTCTAAGGATTGAAGAACTTGGAAGTCTGGCCACAAGTCTCCTCCCGAAGTCCCCACCTCGGCGTCTGAAGGAACAGCGTCCTCTCTGACCCCGAGCTCTTCAGCAACTCCCTCTACCTCTGCCTCCGAAGCCCGATCCGGGTCTTTCTCCAAGTTTTCCTCAACCTCTAACCTCGCCGCCTGATCGAAGAGTTCAGACCACCGCGAAGGCTCAAAAGGCTGAGGAAGCTGTGAAAATTTCTTATACCCGGGGGTATAATTCAGCAGGATGTGAGCAGCACGGCCAAACCCGTTGTCACCCGTGAATCTCCAAACCGTGATTAGGTCGGCAAAGTTCACCAGCGACCGAGGGGGAGGAGCTGTTTCCCGAGCAGGAATATCTGCACAAACAAAATAGTCATGAACATGGGAAGTCTGGAGAAAGAAATAATAAACCCAAAGGAACCGACGTACTTGTCGTTCTCCATTCAGAGGGCATAACAAGTCATTATACTCGGGACCAACACCTCTCTGCCAAGATCCCTTGAAGATAAGAATATCATCCTTGTACCCCTTGTCCGAGTCCGGAAGATGAGTTACAAAGTACATGGAGGGGTCCCTGGCTTTGAGGTAGAAGTGTTGGTGAGGCATGACTCTCAGGAGGGAATAACAAAAAAGGAGATCGTTGAGCCCAATATTTACCCCGAGGCGCCTATTGAGCTCTAAGATCCCCATAATTATTCGAAAAACATTAAGGCAACATTGCCCGGGGAAGAGGCGAAAGTGAGAAAGGAACTGAAGAAGTAAGGGGGTAAAGGAAACCTAATTCCTCCCTCTATTATGGCTTTGGTATAAAAGGGCATGGCATCCTCGGCCCCGAGGGTAGAAGAGTGCAACACAGGGTCATAACCCTCTACGTCTACGCACGGGGGAATGCCGTACTTAACCTTAAACCTACCAATCTGCTTATCACCCTTCACTTTATATTTCCCCGACCCCGAAGGATCAGCCTGAGGATTCTCGGGAGCAGGGCGTCGACGAGGCATCTCTAAAAAAGTAAGAAAGAAGAGGGTATTTGTTCTTGAAAATCCCTGAGGAAGTTTCCCGAGGGTTAAATCGCTATGTATCAACCGGATGACACCTCCAGTCAATCGAAAAACAAAAAGCTAGGAGGAAGAAAAGAAAGGGAATTCTGAAACTCACCCGAATGTCAAAACGGAGTTTTTTTCTGGAAAACCTTAAAGCGACTCCATCCAGAAAGTTCAGAATCAACGATGGGTCTGCTGGCTTTAAGATTTTAAGGAAGAATGAGCAGTCGACGATGGAAGAAGAAACAAAACTCCGGCGAAGATTCAAGAAGAGACTCTCTTGAGGAAGTTCGAAATGGCAAAATGAGGAAAACGGAAGAGAAGCCCCCTTTATATAGAGGCAATTTCCATCATTGGGCGCGAAAAACGAAACGGCGCATTTAATGCGCACGACATCCCAAGCAGGGGAAAGCGGCTCGAGACAATGATGAAGTACTGGTGGTTGTTGGGAAACCCTTCGTCTCCTTACGACGCGTGTCCTCAGTGTCAGAAGATCGAATGCTGGGGGGCAGTTGATGGGACTTTTCTGAAATACCCTATGATGAAGACACGTGTCCTCGATTTTACTAAAGCACTGTTGCTAAGATCAAGCACCATCGGCGCACGAATGTCCTCGCCCCCGAGGTACCATCATATAGGATAATACATTCAGTATATTTTACAACCGACACGTGGCCTCGGTCTGATATGTACCTCGGTCGGCATATCTCCCTCGGTCCCCGAGATGAGCCTTTCCTCGGTGCCGAGAGGTACCCCATCCTGGACGCTTCCTCTACTCCAAGATAAGCTATTGACGTACATGTTATTAGCCTAGACTAGTCTAGGCTATTCATCATGACCTCGTCTTACACAAGTAATGTCAGAACGTACTGGAATACAGAGGTCACAGCCAATAGGGGATGGACGCGTGGCATATGATATCACATCAAAGATAGACAAACCGCATGCCGTTGCTGACACGCGACTTGGGAAAGCAAACAATTAATTGCACCATTCCCTTGATGAGACCGCATTCAATGCGCTAAGGTTCGGAAATGAAAGGCAATAAATGCTCTTAATACAGAGCATTTATTGCATCCTCCCCGAGAGGAGCACATTGTACCGTCGGCATCCCGATGACCCAGCATTGATTGCTCGGGACCCCGAGCAGTTAATTAGAGAAGACATTCCTCATCAGAATCAATACGCACGCTACCTGTGCCTAATGATCATCTACTGACCACACTGACAGCAATCATGAGCTTTTAAGGTATAAATACTCCTTGCAAAAGGCAAAGCGGGTATGCAACAACAAACTCTTGACTACAATACACACTCAGTGTTTTCTCCTTCCTCTCTCTCTCTCAAAGACTGACTAGATCGTCGGAGGGGATACGCCGAAAAACACTCCGGCGCCCTTCTAACTTGTTCTTCTTTGTTCCAAGAACCTCTTTCAGCCTTACAGGATCGTTCTTCCTTTTCCAGGGTCTCCCGTTGCCGTTCCAGGTTACCACCGTACCTTGCAGGCTGTCCCAAGCAGCGTGTTTGGTCACTCAACCGGCCCACTCGAGTTCGCCAAGGGAGAGATCTGTTCTCGTTTTTTATATTGTGCAGGATATTGCACGCACAACAATCATGAATTTTTCTATAGTGAACAAACTACCCATGTGAAGAACCAAAACAACGCTTAATTTGTAAGGCATTGGCAATTGGAGATCATGGATTACTCCATTGGTGACACTATATAACCTTTGTTTTTCTTTACTGTTATCATCAGTAGGAGGGATCATCAACATGGGCAATCAACTGCGACATGTTTTAAGGATACTCAATCTCACAGTTGGATCTTTACTTCTACCATACCACTTGGCCCTGAAGCCACCCAAAAATGGATTCATGAATTAGGTGATGGTTGAGACTTGAGGGTTACCTTCCCTGAGTTCAAATTCCTTCTATGCGCTTAATTCAGCATTAGCTTCAGCTTGGTCTCTCTGTTCAACATGCCTCTCTGTCCTCTTCGTTCCCCTCTCAAGCTTTAGGCCTTCTACCGATGCTGCCCTTTTAACTGCAATCTCATCCGTCCTCTGTGCAGTAAAACCCACTCTTCTGAAACCACATAACCACACATAACAAAACAGTTGAAGATGTGGTGCCTCCAGTTCTATACTTCTGTGCACCTTCTTTTTCGTAAACAAGGTTCTCTTGAAAGTTCAACAAGAAAAGTGAATACACACAAAAAAAAAAGGGCAAACAAAAAGGAAAGTGAATAAAAAGAAAGAAAAGGAAAGCAAGTCCGAGATTAGACTCCAGTTCTGTCACTGAATTATTGTGCCTGGCATTTATTATGCCAACCATTGCCAAACAACATAAAACTTGATCAGTCCGCCCAGCACAATTGTATGGACATTTACATATAATAGGCATAAGCTTGATTTATAGGAAAATCCTAAAGTTTCTATTTATAGCGTGACTGGTAAACCTAGATGTAGAGTGGTAAAGGGTATCATAGTTTGAACTATCTCGAGTCTTGACCAGGCCATGCATCATGGATGCCCTTCAAGAGAACAACAAGGTGGAATGTTCTATCCATAAGTTCATTAAACCAATGAAGTTTTTCGAAATGTCTGGTCCACAACTAGTTAAGAAACAAAGTGTTCTTTGTGTTTAATGGATGAGAAGCTAAGGTTGGCATTTGTGTGTGTGTGTGTGTGTGTGAGAGAGAGAGAGAGAGAGAGAGAGAGAGAGGGAGCAGCATGCTCACCCAGTTAAGCTGTGTCATATCACTTCTTTTCCAGTTCTTTCAGAAAGCTCATTTTCACCTGCAAAAATGCTTCTCCATCAGACTTGCATTTCAGCCTCTGGTTGCCATTAGCAATACCAAGAGATCAGAAACCAAAGCTTGCTGCAGTGTTCATCGCAGAATGATTACCAAATTCATTTGAGAATAATAACTCATGTCACCAATAATCTCCACAGGAACAAAAACCATCCTCAAACTTGTGGAACCTGTTAGCATCTCTTACCAGAAAGACCACCTTCAAAACCTTTGACAAACCCTTGATGAATTCGTGACAATCACCACAAACTCTCAAGTTTTTGAAAATCCGAATAGGCATTCCCTCTTTTTCCAGTCCACCACAAAGTAATGCCAACCCAATTGCCAACTTTTCACTGTGAACTCTCAAGCTCTCCTCCTTTGACTCGTCTTCCACGTCATGCAATGCAAACCTCACTTCATAAGCATAACCCACTTCTTCTTTAATTCTTCTCTCCATTTCTTTCAAAATTTCATGGATACTTTCTGTAAGTGGATGTGTGTCATCTGCATTGTAGAAAAAGTGAACCTTCTTATCAATCTCAACCCAACTACGTCCTGCTACTTTCTTCAATCCCTTTGCCTTCACCAACAGTCTCAATCTCTCACACTCTTTCCAATAGCAAGCATCAGCATATATATTTGATAACATAACGTAATTGACTGGGTTGTTACCATCCAGTGTCAAGAGAATCTCCCCTACTGCTCTTCCCGTTTCTACATCTCTATGCACTCTACAAGCACTAAGCAATGTCTGCCATATCCCTATATTCGGTTTTAGTCGCATGTTCTCTATAAGATTCTTAGCTTCTCTTAAACGTCCAGCTCGACCAAGAATATCAACCATGCAAGCGTAGTGCTCTACTCTAGGTTTAATTTGGTGGTCCATGCATAATCTTGCGAAGTACTCTTGACTTTCTTCAATAAGGCCTGAATGACTACAAGCTGAGAGTACAGCCAAATACGTCACTCCGTCCGGCTCAATATCATCTAACCGCATTTTGTTGAAGAGGTGAATTGCTTCTTTGCCAAGACCATGTTTCCCATACCCAGTAATCATAACTGTCCAAGAAACCACATTCCTCCTTGGCATTTCACCAAAAAGTCTTTCTGCTTCCTCTGTTAACCCACACTTGAGGTACAGATCTACAGTCGAATTAGTTACTGAGATGTCTAGACCATATGGAATTTTAGTGGCATAAGAATGCAATTGCTTACCTTGCTCTACAAGAGCAAAATCAGCAAATACCCCCATCATGCTTGAGAGAACAAACCCATCTACTCGGATGCTACTGTTCCTAAGCTGCCTAAACAAGTCCATGGCCTCTGCGAGGTTTTCTTCTTGAGCAAAACCTATAATTAGAGCAGTCCAAGATATAACACTCCTCTGTTCAACTTGATTAAACACTTTCTTTGCTTCAAACAAGTACCCGCATTTCACATACAGATCAACAAGGGCACCTACAATAATTGTCTTAACCGAAATAGGGAACCCTGTTGTAACCAAAAAAGCATGAATCTGAGTTCCTCCTCGAATAGCTCCAAGTCCACCACAAGCTTTCAAAGTGCTTGTAAATGTATACTCATCAGGCGTTTCTCCGTGCAGTCGCATTTCTTTAAACAGAAATAAAGATTTGTCGCCCATCCCTGCAAGGGCAAATCCTGCTATCATTGCATTCCAACTTATCAGACTTCTAATCGGCATTTTATCAAACATCCGTCCTGCTTCATTTATGCTTCCACATCTAGAATACATATCTATAATAGAATTAACCACCACAGGATACCATCCAAACCCACTTTTACTGCACAAACTATGAATCTGCATCCCATTTTCAGCAACACCCAAAAACCCGCATGCCTTAAAATTTGTCGAAAATGTGAACTCATTAGGCTTAACCCCAGAAGAACCCATTCGACGTAAAAGCAACAAAGGACCTTTTGCATTACCCTCTTGTAAGTATCCACACATTAGAGCGGTCCAAGAAACAACATTTCTCTCAAGCATTCTATCAAACACAGCACAAGCCTTGTCCATTCTTCCACATTTTCCATACATATCTATAAGATCATTGTTTATCATCATGTCCAGCCCATAACCCCTTCTCACAACACTTGCATGAACTTGCATTCCTTGACAAAATTGCACATTCTTCGAACATTTTCTCAAAAGCTCCGCAAAATTTTGCCTTTCAATCATAATTGAAACTTCAATATGGAACGTTTGATTATCAAAGAATTAGCAAAATGGGGAAAGCCCCCTGTCACAAAACTGAGTATGCTCTTTGCAACCTTTAAAAAGGTCCAAACTTCAACTTTTGTGATCACAATATAGCAACCTTTAGATCACAAAAGATCAGTTGGGTCTTCCAAGTTCTGAATTTTTAACCAAAGTGATCTTAAAGAATTTATTATGACCTCAGAAAATAACTTGTATAAACTTTACCAGTACCCTTACCCTTTTCAGCATTTCGGGTCATTCCTTGAAGTTGTTGCAAAAAAAGATATCGAATTTCCCCATCACCCACTTTGACATTGGCAGCAAAAGTTGTTGTCTTGACAGTTAAGAGTATTGGAAGATATGTTGATACTCATATTGCGGAATCGTTCAAACGTGGGGCGCTTGAAGAAAACACATGCCCAAATGATCTAGTTCACATAATCACAACGCAACTTCTTGGGTGAAGCAAAAGTGGTGGATAGCATTCGAAATGAAGAAATAGACTCTGCAAGCTTGCTATTCAAACAGGTAATTGAGCCCAAAAAATTCATTGTACACCTCTGTGCTTAGGACATGTACACACAACCAAATACACGAGGTAAGCACATCCACGATTTGTCGTGCCTAGTTTTTCTAAGATATATACAAACCCATTTCTTATTAGGTGTTGCGGAGGAATTTCGTGAGTGAGTCTTTGTAAGCGAGTTCATGGTAGAGTAATGTAATTGAAACTTTACAAAAAAAAAAAAGTTTTTGAAACTTTACAGTTGGATATGCATATGAACTGAGGTACTCTTAATGGACAAGAATTGTTTGAGGAAAGGTCTGAGAGGGAGGTGATATCTTGGAACAATCTTATTTCTGAACATATAAAAGTGGGGGCAGATGAGAACGGTAAAATTTCAATCTTTGAAGCAAGGAGCGGCTCCTCTGGGGTAACCCATTTACCGCATGATATGCGGTTAAATGGAATGGTGGCGTTTTAGATATTTTTTGTATATTTTTTTTTTATTCTTCCTCACCAAAGATGGTATCGTTTTTTGCCCAATAAATCACCTTCAGACCCCTTCCTACGCATGCTTTCTGTCCCCCCCTCTCTCTCTCTAATTACTAATCTTCTTCCTTCCCTTGTCTACTACGAAACCCGTTAATGCACTGAGAAGATCACATCCTCCCCTTCCTCCAATCCACAGTCTCGTCCAGGGAGCTTCCAAGTCTCTCTATACTGACTTCATTGATTATCTACATTGATAAGGATTTGTGGTTTTTCCAGAATCTACAGGATCAACTACTTGTCTTTTCCCTTAAATCTCTGTAATCCAATTCCAGCATGCTTACATATATTTCTGTCTATTCCTTTTATATTTCTGTTCCTGATGAAAATGATGACACAAGTCGTAGACTCGTCCTTCCCACCCTCCACCTGTTTGAGAAAATTCCAGAAAGAACTCTCTTTCAAATTTTTGTGGACTGAACTCTCAGATTTTGTTAATTAAAATTTGGCTAAACTCTCTTTCAGATTTTTGTTCTATTGAATGGGCTGAACTCTCAGATTTGGTACATTGAAATTTGGCTTCGATTTCAGATAGAGATATGGATTGAACTCTCTTTCTTTTTCTGCTGTGAATCAAAATTTGTCTTCGATTTTTGCTATGGTGAATCAAAATTAAATTCAATCGAATATTTTGCTGCTGTGAATCAAAAATTGAATTCAACACTATGAATCAATTTTTTTTTTAGTCAGAAATGAATGAGTTGTGATGGCAATTCATAATGAATATTTTGCTGTTGTCCTTTCCTGTTTACTGCAACCTCATAAAAATAAAAGTAAGATTGCACTTATGAAAGTTCTAGCTTTGCTGCTCATTCAGGCTTGTACTTTGGTATCTTTCAGTTAAATTTTGCTGCATCTCTATGAGCCGTGAAATATCCCCCTTAAACACACATAAAAGAGCATAGAGAAAATACCCAACAAGAAGTGAACAAATGCAGATAGAATCAAAATAAGTTATTGTGCCCTCCAAGCTTGATGATTTGGCCTTGACACTAGACATTTTTGTTATATAATATGCCTAATGAGTATGTCATATAGGACTGTGATGTTGTTGCTGAGAGCTGAGCTGTGAGCAATGGAGCAGGAGCTAAGCTATGGGGTATAGAGCACAGTAAAGAGAAGCTCACTCAGCAGCTGGAGGAATAGCAGGTCCAGGTTTTGGGTTCTGTCTGCAAGCAGTCTATGGTGTGTTAGGCCATGGGTTGTTTTGTTGGCTGGGCAGCTGGACTGTGCTTGATAAATTTCTGGTTTTAATCCTTTTGAAGGATTAAAGCCAACTCTTTGTAATTAAAATTTTTGAATTCATTTGCTTCTTGTAATTCATTGTTTCATGGAATAAAATTTCTTTTTCTAAAAAAAAAAAGAATATATTGTTTGTGCTGAATGAATTAAAGGGCTGCTGCAATTTCTAAATTTCCAAATTAACCATACATATCAAAATTCCAATGTTAATTACTATAATAATCAAACTTTGGCACTAAACAATAACATTTTCTCACCTAGACAAAGTACAAATTTCCTAAGGCAACTAATTTGGAAAATAGAATCCACACAAAAGCCTGCTAAGCTCCTCATCATCCCTCACTGCAAGCTGAATGTGCCTTGGCACTATGCAATTCTTCTTGTTATCCCTTGTTGCATTCCCAGCCAACTCCAATACCTGTATTCAATAATCACCATCATTAAATCACAAGCCCAAAAACCCAAAAAAAAAACCTCATTTCTATGCATCCAGTTCCATATATCTCCATAGGTGACAAAAATATAATTCAGTCCCATATGCATACAACATCAAAATAATAAAATGAAACAAATCACCAAATATTACCTTAACATTTGAGTGCAAGAATGTAACACATAAAGCATTTAGATCAAACTAAGCACTACATAGTAAGATGCTATTTGCTAGCATATGATCATGTCAAAGATGTAAATGTAGGTTCGCCAAATGAATCTCTGCTAAGGATCCCAAATACTATATCCTTAAAAAATGGTGCCCAAGACTTCCTTTTTTGGTTCAGGTATTCGTGTATTATCTGGTGGATTACATATATGTTGGAAGATGATATCAAAAAAGGTGAGAATGATGGATGCATATTCCCAATGATAACTACCTTGTATCAGTCTAATTCCTTCAACAGCAACAATTAACAGTTACTGAGACAGGCTGGGCAAGGCAAGAAAACCAAACCAAAAGGAACTGTCAGTGATACCCTTGAATTTTTTTGTTTTGAAAATATAAATGTAAAGAGCATCTTGCAGCTGCAATGGCCAGACAACATCAAATAAAAAAAGAAATAAAATTTCTTATAAATAAAATCCACATGAAGCAAACAAAAATTATAGAAAAATATAAATCCAACCAAAACATAGTCATAACTAAAAACAGGCTGCCTATTTTGGGGTCATGCAAGTAGCACACTTTCAGAATGACGGCAAGTATAAGGCACCTGCATTTTTCTTGGAAGGAAAATCTCAGGAAAGATCTTTAGTGGAACTTACCTCTGTTACAACATCACGGGGAGGATGCTTAAAAATAATGTGTCCGAATTTGAGTTAATTGTATGCATGGTAATACTTACTCAAGTGTTTCAAAATTTTGCTAAACAATACATTATGCAAGACACTCATGCAAAATGAAAAGGTTTCAATTAACAAAATCTGTGAGTTCAGTCCACAAAAATTTGAAAGAGAGTTCTTTCTGGCATGTTCTAAAATAGGTGGAGGGTGGGGAGGTTCTGTCGAGAAAAAAAAAAGACAGCCAATTTAAAGGGAAATATGAATTGAGAGAGCGATCGAATGAACAATTTGAATTTAAATTTGATCCATCTAAATGGCAATTCTTAACACAGAGACAACGAAGGAACATACCTTGCCTGTAGTCAAAGTTGCCTGAGGTCGCTCAAATCTGTTGATGCACCTCGCAAGGCTTTGTTGTTGAAGTCTAACGAAGAAGGACTGAACTCTCTTTAATGACTGAACTCTCCTCTAACGAAGGAGGAGGATTCAGATCTAGTTTTTACCTGAGCTAAAAACGACGTCGTTTATTATAAGGAAGAGTAAAAATAAAAAAGGAAAAAAAACCTGAAACGCAGCCGTTTCATTAAACCGCATAACATGCGGTAAGCTCCCAACCGCAGACGAGCCATACCCCTTTGAAGCAATGCCAAATAAAACCAAATGTGGAAGCATAAGCAAAGCCTAGCAGTCGTTTGATCAAGTGTATGAAAGGGATGTGATCTCTTTCGAGTAAAGTGATTGAAGGGCTAGCGAATCACCGGAAAGCTCATCAAGAATTAGAATTGTTTTAAAAAATGCACACAGCAAAGGTTGAACCAAAGGAGATCAGTTTGGCTGGTGTTCTTTTATCCGATGAGGAATGATTACAGTATAGAGCCAACTATTGTGCATTTTGGTTGTTTGAGTAATCTTCGTAGATGGGTGTCTTGCTTGGGTTCTTGAACTGATAAAGACGACGCCAATGAAGCCAGATTCTGCAATTTGGGGCCCCTTGTTGAGTTCAGTAACTCGCCGCAATCATGGGATTGCTGTTACAGCAACGGAACATCTGCTAGAGCTTGAACCAGTAAACCACTCTTGAAAAAATTCATGCAGGCCTAAGAAAGTAAGATGGTGTTTCAAGGATGAGCAAATTCATTAAAAGTAAGAGCATCCAAGAAAACACTTGGAACTAGTCTGAAGACAACCACTTTGGACAAACAATATTAAAGGTTAGATAGTTTCAAAGTAGCAATTGAACCGATATGACGGCCATCACATAGTACCATTGAAAAAAGATTCTAGTAGAATTGATTTACAACCATCAGTGGCATACAACACCATGGCAATTAACAAAAGAGAAGGTAGAGGCTAAATGGATCCAATTCGCGTAATAAGCTATTTATCAACCTAACACTAATACCCTCGTTTTCTTTCCTTCAATTTGGACAACAAAGTTCTCAGAAAGCATACGAGACAACGAAGGCTATACAAAATTTCACAGCCCTACGATAAACATGTTACCAACATCTGATTCATAACACAAAAATTAGGGTGTTTTGTGTAGTGCATCCCACTTGGAAGTATTTCAGCAGTCCATGTCATCATCAGCAACAGCAGATGTGTTTTCAATATTTTTTATCCTGTTGCTGGTACTTTTTGACAAGTTTTCGTCTTCCGAATCAGGGACAACAGCTGTCTCAATAGCAGTATTCCGAGTAGGTCTTTGCCTCGACCTATTCTTTGCACCTAAACGTCCACTTTTGGCAACATTATGTCCAGCAATCCCAGCTTTCCAACGTGATGCACGCACATTGGCAAAGGAATCATTCTGCTTCTGATAATGAACTTTTGCTTCATTCCAAATGCCAAAACTATCATTTTTCTTGTTGAAATTGCTCGAGCCACTGCCATCATCCTTACCATCACTGGCTTTTTTACCATCATACACATTGCAATTACCATCATCATCACTATCACCCCCTTGAAGCCTGCTGCTCTCAGTGGATTCACTGTTGCTTGATTTAGTGTCTGGATCCGTGCGCCTGTTCAAGGCAATTTCATTTATTCTTCCTTGCTTACTATGTTTTTCTTCATGCCTTTGCTCTTCAGTAGTCTTCCTTTCCCTGAACCACATTGAAGTCAACAGACATTATGTATACTTAATAAAATTGGCCAAAAAGAACAGATTATTGCCTAATACTAGACAATGGCAAAAAACACATGCCTAGCTCTGCCAATATAAGGCCTGAACCTTCATCTGGAGTACAAATGCAGGAAAACCAAGTTGATAGCAAACTGCTGATGCAATTTGATGGAATAAATCATTATTGCAAATCATAAAATACATGATTTGCATATTACGACAAGCCATGGACCCACAAATGGATTTCTGCAGGACACTAACCCCATACGTCATGATACTAGGTCCATAATCTAGCTATCTGGCTGGACAATATACCCTGAGCCTTGTAATACTAAAGAAGCTGCTTACTTTTAAATTTTATGTTTGCAACACTAAATACGGGCACCCAAGAAAATCTAAATGTCAATTACATTATCACATAAATGGTATGCTTATTAAAGGCAGTTGTCATTACTATATATAAACTATAGTCATCAGGACAGGCCCATGTTCACCCGTGACTAGGGAAGCAACATTAGATATATGCCTGAGGTCAGGCAAGGATTACACTGAGTTTCACAACGTTAAATGGTCAGATCCCAGCTCATGACCAACCCAATCATCCTTGGCAACGTTTTTCAGCACCATGATTCCAAAGAGTCCAGTAAATTTATACATGTTCTTGAAAGTATTCATCAACGTCTTGTATTGTTCGCACATTTCCATAATTGAAAACCATGCATAACTACAAAGATTTAATGTTCCAAAGAATCCAAACTAAGGAATACTCAAGGACCAGAAAGCATAATTCCCGGTAGATATATTAAACTGGTAGACACCAAATGTATAGCCTCAGTAAAATAAACCGGTAGATTACATGGAAAGCGAAGATAAGAAATATAAACTGGCAGATACATTCAAGTAAATAAAACTTACTTTATCACTTGTATAGCCTCAGTAATGGCCTTGTCATACTCATCTGCATATTAGTCTCCAAATAAGAGAAAACCTTTTTTGCTATCAATGTAGGAAATGGAATACATTAAAAAAAAAACACTGTAGCTGTTAAATGCATGCGCATGAGAAGTCTTGCAGCAAGTTTGTACTGAGAACCCTTAGTACTCACATTTTTAATACTTCCCCGGTTGGCTCATGTTCCTGTCAAATTATGTTTTCTTATCCCACGGTATAGTATTCTTATTGTCTAACTCAGATATAGCAAGTCTTTCAATGAAAAGGATGCACCAAGAACGTCCAATAATTAAATTTCAATGGCTCCCTGAGTCACTCATACTCAGCATACAAATTCTCAATTTTTAAGTTTATAGTATAATAACTGCTAATTTTGAAATCTATGGACATGCTCCCTAGCAAAAATAAACCACAACAATAGAGCACTACAATGTGTGCTTAGCTTAAAGTGTCATAGAATGCTAAGATGCACCAAAAATGGACTGGATTTTGTACTCAAGAACTTACCAAACTAACAAGAGGAATATAATGAAAAAAATAAGATTTCTACCATTATGGAAATAGATATCCGCATACGCAAGCGGCACAATAGAATTTGGGGCCCTAAGCAAAAACTTTAAGCGGGGCCTTTACAAACTTATTATGAATATATATGCTATTTATTGGTTATGCCATTTTTTCAATGAAGAAAGAGGGGACATTTTTCAATGCGTTATGAACTTAAAAACATATGAATGAGAGAGATTAAGAGAGAGAGTGAGAGAGAGAGAAAGGTGTAGACAAGATTTGTTTATGTAAATGTATTTATTTATGCCCTAATTATGGAGAGTTATTGGCTTGACAACAAATTATGAGAGGTGTGATCTTTTAGGTGAGTGATGTCAGATGTGACCGTTGAGTTGGTGGAAGAGTGTAAAACTTATTAAAAAAGAGGAGAATCAGATTTTTTATATTTTGGACCATTATTCCATAATATTCTTGAGCCAGATTAACCCATTTTGTAAAGACCAAAAATATAATTTGGGGCCCCTCATTTTTTGGGAGCCCTGAGCAAGCATTTCACTTGCTTATAGTGTCAGCCGGTCCAGCATACGAAAACGCTTATACAATCAGACTCTTAGCATTGCAACAGTTTCAGCTCAGCTTTCAGCTGAACTAAAGCAACTTGTAAATTTCAATCTATTTAAGTCTGCAACTCTCCGGGTGCTATTTATTTGGTGGCCTTGTATATGGGATCACCTTCATCTTTGGAATAATCTTTCAAATATTCAAATTCACAAGCTATGAACCATCATTTACAAGGTCTTAAACTTCTTGCATGCTGAATGGTTATACATTTAACACAAAGCAAGAGATATCTAGATTTCGCAGTTGATTCAGCCAAGTATGATCAAAAAAAGGAAATTATACACAAGATTTTATCATACCAAAAGTGTAAGTGACAGGCCTACGATTGCGGACAGAACGAGTGATCCCAGTATTTTGAAAACCATTCAAAAGTTTTTCTTGTTTTTGCTTTCGTTTCAGTACTCTTTCTTTCTTCTGTTGGAGGCAGAAAGAATAGACATGTCAGGTTCAACCCACACAAATAACAAGTTTTGAACGGTACAAGGCTGTGAGCTTTCGATTCATAGTTGCCGAAGCCGACACAAAATAAGTTGTATGCCTAGCGGAAGATTTCAGACACTGACCTTCTGAAGTTTCTCAAGAACAGAAATGGCATCTGTTTCAACAGTCTTTGCAACAGCAACTTCCCATGTTACTTTGCTGGATGAGAATTCATCCTGCCATTACCAATGAAAACAAGTAATTGAGATTTTTTATACCAAAACAAAAAAGAATTGTGACCCCACCAAAAATCCCCCAAACTCTTTAAATGAGACCTTACCACAACTTTACGAAACTCATCAAGATTGGTTGCAAGTGTATCCCACTGGGAATTAATTGCAGGTACAGTTTCTTTCCCCTTAACTTTTTGCTTGATAACGAATTTATTCACTTCCTTGTATAATCTATAACCCATAGTTGCATTTCCATCGCACCTGTGATAAATAGACAGGAGTTATCAAATAAAGTAAGATTATATTATAATGACAATGCATAAAACTTACCAGTATGTAGTTCCATTTCCATCCCCCCCTATCTTGTCCTTTCTGAAAGTATAAACCTCAGTTCCATCTTTTAATGCATCATTAATATAAGCCACTATATCATATTGCTGCGAACAAAAATACTTTATATCAACAGAAAAATAGAAGATAGAGTAACAAAAATGCCTCTTCGAGCCTATTTGAAGAAAATTTTGTAGCTACAAAATGACATTTAACACTACATCTAAACAACACAATACCATGTGCAGTGGTACCAAAGACAAAAAAAACAACATGGAAAGCAAATCCAACCACCAAAAAGGATACTCCAGATGATGTGGCATGCAGAACAATATATGATTAACAAGATTCTTCACAATGAAAATAGAAGAAAAAATGGATAGATACAATACATCAGCTCGGATCTCACAAAGTGCTTTAAGCATTAATAGACGCGTTGTTGCATCAAGTTCTTTGTAACTGGTTATCTCCTCTCTGCCACAAACAATGGCAGCAAAGGGCAAAGACATTGTAGTCACGTAAACATATGAGATCAGAAACGAGG